CTCATGCAGAATAGCCCAAGAGTTGAAAGGACATAGACATATACCTCCACATAGGCAAATGTGCATGTATAACTCCATGGACATACGTAAAGCCGCATGCACAACCAGACAGACATACAGTACAAACATATTCACAATTGTACAGAGTCACCAAGTACTTACTCAAGGGGGATTTGTTTGTTTTTTCTATAATAATAATAATAATAATAATAATAATAATAATAGTAATAATAAGATTTGTCCTGAGATGACTTTTGTTGTGATTTGGCGCTATACAACTGAATTGAAATTTGGCAACATTTGTAGCAATTACATTAAACCATAGCAACATAAAACTGCACAATACTATATGCCTGAGGTTTTAAGCTTAGCTTTAAAAGTGGGTCCAGTTGTTATAAATCATAACTTGCTTGGCAAAGCCAAACACAATTCATGTATAGCAAGACATGAAAACTGTATACCAGACACTTGCTGGTACTCCATTGCGCTAAGCAGTGAGACTACATGGGAAAGGGAGGGACTGCATTTTATGTCCGGTTTGGGCTTCACTCCATCCAATCTGTTTAATACACATTCCTATGCAGCTGTGATCTGGATTTAGTAGAAAAAAATGGCACTCATTATGAACAGTAAAAGATTCAGGGCTTAAGCCTAATAAGCTCACCCTTGGTGCTGCCTATGGCTGACAGCCCCCCAGAAAGAAACCAACAAAAGTTTTCCAGTGATGAAATTAGGTTATTTAAACTGAACTGGGTGGAAGAAATCACTGAAAGGTAATCTTCATGTTCAAACTTTCACCTGAATTGTAGTGAAAAGTTAAGAAGGGTCCATCATAGACCTATAATAGACCAAGAGCTCAGTTGCTTTAATGAACTTAAATTAAACTAAATACACTCTGGAATTAACAATTAACACAGAGATAGTGGCAGGTTAGATTATAGGTTATCATTCACATGCAGACCTGTTTGCCACTGTGCATATTTGGCACAGTGGCAAAAACAATAAAGGACAAACTGCAGTAACACGAAACATCAGATATTGTTATGGTTAGTCCCCCTCACCAGGAGGGTGAGGTAGAACTGAGGTAGGACTCAAGTTTGCAGATCCAGGTGCTAGTAGAAAAATGGAGGTTTAATGGAAAAACACAAAGTAACAATGTAACAGCATCAATGTATAGTACTGAACGAGGGTAGAGCAGAGATGGCTGAAGAGACCTGGACGAACAGGTGAGTAGACAGGCTGACGGCAGGAACCAGGAGAGTAGGAGGATGAGGATGGACAGGAGAAAAAGAGTAGCGAACAAACCGACATCAACAGCTCAGGGACTGTCAGCGTTGATCCCGAGTTCGTGTTGCTTCAAACATGTTATTCTTGGGCTTGAAAACACCAGTTAACAAATAAGTCTCAACTAAAGGTCCACTTGCTTGTTGTGAAAAGATTCTTTTGTTTGAATGCATCATAGAGCAAAGCAAAAGACAAGAAAAAACCTTGACAAACTCAAGCTTTTTAAAGTTTACCTAACCCAATTAGGAAGTCCTTTTCAAATACATTTTAAGTAGAAAGCCAACATATAGTCCTATTTAGATTGCTGGCCTACTGTTGACCTATGAAATTTGAATTGCAGATGTAAGATTGTCTGGTTAAGCTGAATGACATACTGCAGAGGCCAGCTACTGTATCCCTTCACATTAGTGCCACCTCCTGGAAGATAAGTGCCAGTGCACCCAGATAAACTGGTAGAATATTACCACTATACAGGACTTGTGCAGTAGCTGAAAAAAGAGCTAATGCACTATTAGCAAAGATGCTCAACAAGTGCCTTTACCAAATAGAAACATTAGCACAGTCATGAAACCGGTTTTAAACTCTAGACAGAAAACTTCGACCAAAACAGACATGGCAACACCAAATGAAAAATGAGAACTTTACTTCAACACAAAGACACTTTACATCCAGTCACTTCAAAGCATGTAATGTATACAGTTAGTCCTGAAATTGGGTAGTAGTTTAATTGTCATGCCACATCTCATTAACATCCCCCGTCTCTGGTCACATCACAAAATACAGAGTAGATCTGAGCATGCCAGACTCCTGAAAACCCATTTACTTTGCATAATAATGTACTGTACAAACCTCTATTGCATATTGATGTCCTGTACAAAAATCAACAAACTGCTCTGATTACATTAACCACATAGAGCAGATTTAGTATGCTGCAGTGTGGATGGTTAAATGACACTGGTGTAGAGATCAGGTACAAAATCAATGGTATTGAGGCTGGGCCACGTTTGCACCGACATATTTGTGAATTTGAGTCTCAATATGAAAACATGTAAAAAGCACCTTGGACTCATTTGTGCTAAGGCAACCATGACACTTTATGTTTAATTAAGGTAAACAAATCAGTACAGGAAGTGAGCTGCCAAAATAACAGAAGTTGTAACTGTTATCACTTTGTAACTTACTATATATATATATATAAAAAAAAGAACTTTGTCTATTGAACATAGGTTCCACATGGTGTTTTATGTGTGTGTTGAAACAGGTTATGGATACAAACCATACAGGGGTACAATATATGAGAACAAAGAGAAAGACATACTGCTGAAATTGTGTTAGGGCCTAGTGGACACTAAAAATGAATGGAACACTTAGAAAAGAAAAGGCTAAGCAGAGTCTATACTACCATCAGGTGAGGCAGAGGTACTGATCTTGGCTTTTACATTATGTAAACACCCAGTTCAGCCAATAACCTGTATTTTTGTATTCCTGCCTCTCTCTCTGTAATTTAATTGGTCATATGATAAATGAAGGTGCTTGGAATGGCGCATAAAGTAAAACATAAGCAAAGAAAAAATGAAGTACCATTTAAGGACTAGTTCACTCAAATCACATAATCTTATATATGAATGAACTGACCCTTTTCACTGCTTCACAAGTTATGCATACGATGTATCAATTAGCTGAGCAGCAACTGTGATAATGACAGTACACCATTAGCCACTGATAAATACACAAAACAAATAACAGACTTAAAATCAATCAATAACCACATAATTATTTTGTACCGTACACTATAACCAGCGGCTCCCATTGCAGCTGAAAAAAAATGAGATTACAACCATCCACCAACAATCTGAAAAAAATCAAATGGACTAGATTTCTAGGTCGAAGATGTTTCACCTCTCATCGAAGAGGCTCCATCAGTTCTGACTGACTGGTGTTGAGCTGGAGATATTTATCCACCTCGGTGGTGTTTCAGTCCTTTGATGCCCAACAATGTCCCCTAACGACTGAGTCGTTACAGCCCAGTACTGGTGAACGTCGTTACCTGTCTTTGATTCCTCCCCTGTGGACCGATGCCTATTGTCCTGGTGGGCATGTTTGGGCAGAGATCTCAAAACAGGATTGTAGATGGAAGACAAGTTGTGTCTTAGTCCACCACCCCTATTTAGTGAGGGGTGTTCTATTTTTACAAAAATAGCTTCCTTAACTCCTCTCTCAAACCAGCAATGCTCTCTGGAGAGGATCTGGACTTGACTGTCCTCAAAAGAATGTCCTTTGTCCTTCAGGTGGAGGTGGACTGCT